ATATATATATATATCGGTATATTTTTATCTCTCTGAATGTTGAGAAAGCTGCAACTGTTCTCCAAAAATTTATAAAAAGGTTTTTTCTTATTACCTACAGCATTTATTATTATAAACGGAATTAACTCGCTTTCAAAAATATTGTCATTAAATCAAAATTATTTTATTTAATGACAAATATGGACTTCTAACTTGTAATTTATCAAAAGATTATCGAGATGTTTAGTTTAAGCAATGAAGGTAGAAATATATTGCTTTAATAGTTGAATGAAGCTTATTTTATAGTGTGTTTTGTTTCAAAATAAAATAATTATGTTGCGAAATAGTAATTAACAACGATTAAGCGATAAAGATCCAACAAAGATAAAAATCATCCTAAAATATATCTATTTGCGATCAAAATGGGCTACAGATAGCATAGAGCAAAACTCTTTACCTATATGAACACTGTGCATGCTTTCACCATTAGAGTGTGGAGATTCATAGAAGGAAGTACGTCAGTTTCTGTCTTAATTCATATATAGATTAAAATCTTTTATGTTAGGAAACTATGTGGAACTGAAAACTAAATTAAACATGGTTCTAAAAGATAGAATCGTGGAAATTTTAAACAATTAAAACAAAATTAAACATGGTTCTAAAAGATAGCATCATGGAAATTTTAAACAATAAAAACAAAATTATCGCTAAAATAATGAAATTTTTTTTTTATTTACAACTCAAGAAGTATTTATGGGATCTCTCTGGTCCCATGTCTCAAAAATAAACTCACCAACTTAATGCATAACAAAATTAAAAGTGAAAAACAAAATTCTAAAAAAATTATCGGTCGCCATAGTAACTGATGCAAGGACGACGCATGCGCGCTGTTTACTATTACTCTTTATTATTGTAGTTGAAAAGTGTGATGACACCATCAAATCCGAACCAAGACTCCTTTTGACAATGAATAAAAACACTTTTATTCACTGAAAATAAAAATATTAAGAGATAAAAATATCGTAATACATTCCTATACAACTGAAAAGAGAAGGAGAGGGAAGGGAAAAAGGCATGGAACCAGCCTTCTTCCCAGATGGCGCATTTAAGAGCTGCCAACACTCTGCATAATCAGTGGCTGTTAAGCAATTCAGTCTCCAATTTCGTCTGATATAATGCATGAAAGCTACAAGCCGCTTTCGAAGTATAGAGCTCCAAATCTTATCTGAGAGTTCTGCTTGGAATTTAAATAAGTAAATAAAGACAAAATAATGTCAAATAAAAAATTTTCTGTTCCTGAAACTATAGACGATTCCTTTGACGATATTATAAGTGTAAAGACTGCATTTTTTTTAAAAAAAATTCCATATATATTTGTAATTTCTCGAATTTGGACTGATAACATTCCTTCATTTTATAGGGCCCTCAGTGTTTTAAATCGGGAAAAGTTCTTACCGAGAAAGAGAGTAGCGAAAGCACTTCATCGACGCTTCCATCTAGTGATAAAAATGAATCGACTTCTTCAAAAGCTGCTTCAACTAGATTTGAAAAAGAATTTTTAAATCTGCGGGAATCTAAATTTTTTGATGGCTCTATTGACAATCAGTGAGAATACATTCCCTTTTAATATTTTGTTTCAATTTATAATTTATTATAAGTTTGATGAAAATATTTTGGGGAGATTTCCGTATCCTAACTGTGGCAGAATGATAGCAATGAAAGTCTTGGAAACTTTAAAAAAAATATCATCACAGAAAGGGACCAACTCGAAAGGTATAACTCATAACCTCTACATGTTTTTTATTTTTTTAAATTTTACATTTTTTTGGAAACTTGGCGATTGTAGTTGGTGCAACAGCTCATGATACAGAAATATCCCCAATATTTTGACATCTTAATCTATTTTTTACATTATTTGTTTATTCCTTGTGAAAACTTTTTTTTCCTGTTATGAGAGATAATTCTTTGTAGGTACAGAAATTGGTAAGTGGTCCTCAAAGTTTCAGTTAAGCTCTGACATAAATGTTGAAAAAAATATGTGATTTTTTTTATTCATTTATTTTGTTTAACTGTGCTCTTCTAACATTTAGTTGTTGGTATAGTTCACAGTTTTTCTCAGAGTGGCTGCATGAAAAAATAAACTTAAGATTTTCGTATAGTTGGCTGTGCCAAGAGGGTCTGAAAATTTTGGCGATAATCAGGCAATGACGCAAGAGAAATGGAACAGAAATACATCACAGAAGAGAGCCAACTTACACAGTATAACTCATAGTCATCCTTCATTACGCAATTATTTATTAAATGCTACAAGTTAACAAAAACCTTGGGTGCTTTACCAATGGCAGTTGGCGCTAACAGGTACCAATATGGTATGAATAAAATGGATTAAAAAAATTTAAAGTGCCACTGACAATCACATTTATATAATACATTAAAAATGGGCAGAATTCATAATTTTTTAAAGAAAAAAAATTAGATTAATTTGATTTAAATTGAATTTTTTTTTTCCATTTAAATCATTTTTTTTATTATTATTATATTTCCCAGCCAAATCATCGGATAAAATATATTAACAGTACTTAATATTAAAGACAATAATATAGCTAAAAGATATGATATTTCTTAGTAAAATGTTTCAAAAAGTATTATTTATTTGTTGCAAACTAATCACTGAATAAAAAAAATCATGGTTATTTTTGCTTTAGCATTTTTGCTTTAACATATGACTTTAAAGATGGGGAGGCAATTTGTAAGTTAGATATCCAATCAAGAGTAAATTAGTTTAGATCAGAATTTATTTAAAAAAAATATTGTAAGTTTCTCTGGACAGAATGCCTTTCTTTAGTAATTGGTTAACACTAACTTCCTATTTAATGCATTTTGAAAGCACTTAATGTATTCAAATAAACATAATAGTAGATGGGTATGATTGAAATATAAAAAGACAAACAGTAAAATTAAAATTTTCATTTACTTCAAAAACAATTTTATCTATCATTTCAAAAAAAAAAAGTTACCTGATTTTTGGGGAGACAGGATTTAAATCATTATTAAAATTGCAATTTATAACAGAATGATTTTAAAAAAAATCACATCTGTTTTAAAGGAAATCATTGATTAAAACAGATTTTTTCTTTTTAAATAAATCATTAAGCTCAAAATATTTTTATAAATATAATGTTTAGGGTCTTTTTAAAGTCTGATTTCATTGTTAACAAATGATTTGTCCAAAAAATAATGAAAAGCTTTATTATTATATTTCTAAATATATTGATAAATAAAATTAGAGAAAGAGGATAAGAGTAACTCTAAAGTGATAATTTATAATCTTTCATTCTCTGTAAGTATAATAATTTGCTGGTGACAATAACAATCATTATTGGTGGTACGACAGCCCAGGGTGAGCCTTGGATCTTTCCGATCCACTTTTTTTTTGCACATAAAACAAAATGGGTATTATACTTGAAGTATGTTTATTACTGGTAAATAACTTATATATTACCAATAAATATATCAGGACAATTAATTTGCTATGTCGTCCCGCAGTGGACTGATTGTTAAGACATGGTTCCCAGCAGATCACCGAAGTCAAGCATCACTGGCTGCAGCCAGTGTGTGGGTGGGTGACCACTTGGATCAGCCTGCGTAGGGACTGAGGGTGTGCGGTATTGGTCCTCGTTAAACTGTTCTACCGTAAAGTACTCAACTTCGCGTGCTGGTCGTCTTGGTGCCATCCCCTCCGCAGAGGATCAAAATTGTGATGGCATGTCTTCGGATCATCCTCAGGGATCTTTCCCATGCCATCGCCAATAGCCCATTATGCAGCTTTAGTGCAACGTAAATGAACAATTTGCTATGTTATGACATATGTTTTCATTTATTTACTTTAAATATTTTTAATTTTGACTGACTAACAAAAATTTAGTTTTGCATGTAATAGTTAACTAGAATCTAAATGCTCTTACCTCTTTTGCAATTATAGCCTTAAATTAATATTGTTCCTCAACATTGCATTTTTTAGTTTTTGTGCCTGAAAATGCTTATGCATCTGTGGATTACTGGTCTAATTTCTTTAAATGAATTTTGACTATTTACTCTGAAATACAAGTAATGAAAATCATAATTTTGATACATATGAAGAACTTAACGGTTTTGTTAGTTTATAGTTTTATAGTATACTTCCGGGGCATTTTTCCTTTCATTAACTTTCATATCTTTAAACAATATTTCTCTTTAAAAGATTTATTTTAGTTACTTAATGGTATGTTTTGCTCAAAATATATACAAGAAGCAGGGTTGGGTTTTTGACGTCAAAAAGTGGTTTTTGACGTGACAAGGGTATAATACTGGTTTAAACCGTCAAAAACTAAAGTTTGCCAAGAAAATATGTAAACTTCAAAACTACCAACAGTTGCCATGCATTATATGGAAATTTAATTATACTATAGGTAATCAGCAGGTTTTAAAATATTTTTTTATTAAAATTAAGGTAAAATAACAGATTTAAAATCTCAGAAATTTATATTCAAATGCATGTGCAGAAAAATTTTGCACAAAAATTGTTTAAATATTTATATTTTGAAAAAAAAAAATTTTTTTTTTTTTTTTTGATATTTAAGAAAATTAAAAGTTTATTACCATGCATTTTTGACATATAAGGAACATTTAACTAATATTTATATTTATAAGGAACTTACAAGTTATGTTGTATAAATACAAACTTGATACAAGTGTATAAAAAAATTTTTTAAAGTTAGACTGAATATCTTTATTATCCAGTATGTTAATTTGAATTTAAAAGTAGTTATATTTATGAATAATGATAAATATAATTCATATTGTTTATTATATTTATTTATAATTATTACACTTATCATTTTAAAACAATTTTTATCTCTTAATTTTTTTTTCTCCACTTGTATTAAGAATACAAATAATGCATATCTTGAAAGCAAGAAGTAATTATTCAACAGCTGAATATTTAGATATTCAACAAAACTATATAGTATTCAGCAAAATGAAATTCACAAGTATTTGGATAAACTAAATTTTCAGCATAGTAAATGAATAGGCTGAATATACTGTAAATCGACACTAACTACTCTGTGTATTTAACAGAAAGCACTTAAATTTGTATTGTCTTATGTTAAAAAGATTATTAAGAAGATTTAAAAGAATATTAAAAAGATTTTTCTTTAAAAGAAGATGTCTAATGTACAAAACTGCTAATGTTTATCTTTAAAAATGTCTAATTTTTAGTATAATCTATACTATACACTAAATTTGGTTATAAATAAATTTCTTAATAATATCACTGCAGATTTTCAATAACACATGAAAATGAATACATAATATTACAAAAGATGTGAGCTTTCAAAAGTACAAGATTTTGGTTACTATTCAAAATATAAGTGTTTCTTCAAAATTTTTAATTTATTTTTTCTAGAACATATTTAGAAACACTATCCTTTATAAAAAAATATATAAATTTTATGTATTAATTAAATTTCACATATGAATATAGGTTTTTGACATTTTTGACAGTGAGGTTTTTGACGTGACGGTTTACTGACAAGAAGTAAAATATAATGTGCTCCAGATGCATTTGGTGTTTAAATTATAATTTTAAAATAATAAAGCATAAGTAAAATGTCATTAGTGTCTCATATTTCTATCACATATTTCAAAACTTTTTATGCAGTTTAAGTACATACAGTGAAACTTCCAAGAAAGACCACCTCAGTGTTTTACATGCTATAACAATTCAAAACAGTTACTAAATTTAATCATTGAGTTGTACACTTAATTGTATGGTCTTAATGTAATAATTATCAATATATTAAGTTAATTGTGAGATTAATATTCTCTAATTATCTTAAACAGAAATAATTTTTTCTGAAAATCTGCTTTATGCATTTTGTTGTAGCAAGCAATAAAGTCACCAATGAAAATCACTAATTTCAACTGTATGATTTTATTTATTTATTTTTTAAAATTTTTATTTGAATAAATAAAAGAAATTAAAAATATGAATGAAATAGCTGAATTTAATTACGTTGGTGAAATGGATAAGTACTATTCAAAGCGATAAAAGAAAATGCTTTCCAAGTTATTTATCAACCAAATGTCATATTTTCGAACTTTAAAAATGAATAATTCAGTTTAAAAAATATTAACATTTTTAATAATTTTTGTGAAAATAAATCTTAAAGTCATTTACAGTTACTCCAATTCCTATTAATATCCAGCTAAAAATTTATAGGTTGTATATAATTTAAAAACTAGCTGTTGCAAACATAACTTATATGTCCGTAACACCCAGTTTTTGATTTTTTTTTTTTTAATTTTCTGAATTTATAAAAAAAAATTTAAAATTGGAATTTAAGTGTAAATTAAACCAAGACTTATTTTCACAAAAATTACTTGATATTTAACTGAGTTACGTGCTTTTAATGTCTACAAATGCAGCTTTTTCCTTACTGTATTTTTCTCACTGCAGGAGTGAAAAGAAACATTTAGAAAAACCAGGCAATTACTCTGCGATTCTTGTTAATCCTAGGCAGGTAAATATAAAAGAGGTGTAAGCTAAGCATTTTATTTCTTTTTCCTTGTATTAATTCAATGCTCAATTAGATTTTGTCAAATCCTTGTTTTTAAAAATGGAATCCTTCTTCATGAAAACTATATACTTCTATAAACTATATTCCTAAATTTTTATCTTAGATTTGATTTAAACTATTTGTTTCAATTTTTAATAATAAAATTTCGGAAATCCGAAATATTTCATCGATTGTGTAATAAGTTGCATAATATCATTCATACTTATTTATATGCTTTGAATGTTAGTCGTTATCCAAAGTTACTTTTGTTATTTATCTTAAATTTTTCCACCCATTTATCTTTTCTACCTGAGTAGGAGTCATTAATGCAAGTGCACAATGCTTTAAGGTTATTATGATATTGACGCTCTTATTATACAAATTCCATGTAAACTTTGATTTACTAAGTAAAATATCTTTTGTTTTATACTCTGCTGTCTATCTCTCTTTGTAACTTGATTTTCAAAAAGAGCTTTCTTTTCCTGTGATTAAAACTCAAAGCAGTATAGTAGTAGGCAGTAATAAAAATGTAATTTTTTTATCCACTTTTAAATTTAGGTTGACTACAGAACAGGGAAAATACACAGATTTTTCAATCTAGAAAAATCACAAAATTCAAATAAAATAGCAAAAAAATTAGGGGGAGAAAATTTGTTTGATGGTTTTGTTTTGTTTTAATTATGTACAAACTTTAAAAGATATTTTCTGGTGCTTAATTTTGATTCAATTTTTATCAACTACAATCTACTAAATTTTTTGCTATTATAATGTGTTTTATATTTATTCTGTTCATAAAGGTCTTTTTTTTTTTCTCCATGAGCAATACTGACTTTTTTTATGCAGATTTGTTTAAAAAAAAAAAATTTAAACTTTGTAACCAACTAATCAGTTTTTTAAGCACTCAATGCCATCATAAATTCGTGTTTAAATCTTCTTCTTTTTTTCCCTTAGCAGTTATTGCAATTGATTTTCTCATGGTTTTTAAAATTACGACACACAAAATTTGCATCGCATATTTGAGTGATCACTTTTTGGTGGTTTTGATTTGCACCAATACCATTATAAATCCATACAGTGTTTCGATCTGTTTATGAACTACTATTATTAGAAATTTTCTAATTTGTTTCTTTGTTTTTTGTGACACACAAAATACAATCTGGGCATTTTCTTTTACATATGGTTGTCTTTTTTTACATAACAATTTCTTAGTTTTTTTTCTAGTTTTTTTTTTACAGTTATTATTGCTGATATGCACTTATTTTTTTTAAAAAATACTGACCACTAAAAAACTATTTTTAAAAAATGTCTACATTAAATATCTCTTATGTTGCAGAGAGGAAATCCTCTGTTGAAACACATAAGGAATGTGCCCTGGGAGTTCGGTGAGATTGAGCCTGATTATGTGATTGGAAAAACATCCTGTGCTCTGTTTTTGAGGTTTGTATAGGCAAAGCATCCTGTTACTCGGTCGAGCATTTTCCATTTATCTGAAAGCATTTTGTTTCTCGCACAAAATAGATTGGTTCTTGAAATCTGCGCTGCTGAATGCAAAAGTATTTTAACAATTTATAACTGGTTGGTTTTAGGAAAAGGTACTTGGAGATCTTGGAGAATAGCAATTATTATTGATTTTTTTTGTCAAAAAAAATACAAAACTTTTGAATAAAGAACTGAATTAGTTATCCAATGAGTTTATAAACACTGATTCTGCTCACCTAGTACAGTTTGTCTAAAGTAAGAACTCCCCTATCCATTTGTCTGGGCCGGTGGTTGCCAATATGGTAATGGCAATGACTATTTCAAGTAGGGTTGTGGGAATCACTGTTTCGGGCAAGTTTTGGATCGGGTTGGCAAGAGAAAGAGAATCTTTTTCTTCGGTCTGATTTGTTAGCCCTAGAGTGAAAAAAGGCTACCCTCCCTGAAATGCACTATTCTTATTTCCATAGCAGCAGACGACATCAGACTTTGTAGCAGAGGGAGTTCTTATCATAGACAAACTATATTGTGTATTTTCTTCCATATATGTTTTCTTCTATATATGTTTAGCAAGATTGCAGGCTCAGAGAATTGGTTATTTAACTGTGTGCCGTATATATCAATGTCTTTTCTTGTAACAGAATCATTCTGAAGTTAAATTTTTTGCTTTTGATAATAAATAGTATAAAAAAAAATTTTAATTTTCTCCGAACATTATTCTTAAGCTCTTAAAAACATTTCTAATCTGTACTTCATTTAATCATACCGGCCTCAACACTTTTCCATCAGAGGAAAAAAATACTCTTATTGGAATTGTATGGTATACCGTTAACTATAAATCAGAAGATTTCAGTGTCACCTTATTGCTATTCAGATGCTTCTAAATGTCTGGATACTGGACACACGTTAGATTGAAGGAGAGATCGTTACTTTATCTATCCAATCAAACACTCTGCATTTGATTTTTGTTTACTTTGGCTTTGAGTATTTGTCTTTTGTATTCTTCTAATTTTTTTAGTGAATTAAATAGCATTTGACTTATATTAATATTTGTAAGTTAATGTTTAATAATGTTTTTTTTGTGATGTTACACATCCATATAATGCTTAATGATTTCTTACTTTTTACTCTTCAGTGTGCAACATAAGAGATTAGCAATAATTTAAATTGCATCTACTGAATATACAACAAACAAATTTTAATATATCTGTGAATGCTGGTCAGAACTACACTTCCTTTTTAGAAGTATTTGGTGCTCTTTTCAACATCTATAAATATTCAAATTCATGAATTTATGAATAAAATAAGGACTTTATATTTAAAAATCTACTAAATTGCAGTTAATATTTCTATTTTTAATGGTAGCTTTAAAAAAAAGTTTTTCTGTTATAATAAAAAATGCTTAAGAATCCCTAGCTTACTTCAAATTCATAGTAAACTTAAAATCTACTAAAGTTTTCTCTGATTTAATTGGCGGCTATATTCATCAAAAAATAAATTACTATTGATTTATTTTTCAGCTTGAGGTATCACAACTTATATCCAAATTATATTCATGATAGATTGAAAGCTCTTGGGAAATCATACAATCTGCGTGTTTTGTTGGTTCAAGTAGATGTAGTGAGTACTCTTAATCACATATTTTATCTTTTTTATATGGTGCTACGTTTCACATAGTAAATACCTAGCTGTGATTTCTAAACCTTTTGTTTTAGACTGAACCGAACCCACCTTTGAAAGACCTGTCTGTTATCTCAATTTTAGCTGACTGTACATTAATGGTCTGTTGGAGGTTTGTAAAGCCCTTTTATTTAGAGTTGTTATAACAAAGTGTACATTATTAATAGACCACTATTAAATTGTACTGTTTGAAATGGGAAAAAATAGCGTTAAAGAATCTTTTTTGTATATATTTTTTGTTTTGTTTTTTCATTAATAGTTTGACAGGATGCGTAGCATTTTTAAAAAGTGCTTAAAGTTGCTTATTTTTGATTTACGTTTTGTGAAAGCCCTTAAAAGTATTTTTTTCACTGGGTGTTTGTGAAAAGTACTTAATTTTCTATCTTTCAAAATGATAATATATCTTTCAAAATGAAATGATATCTTTCAAAATGATAATATGATGATAATCTTTCAGTATTATCATCATAAATTATTAAAAAAAGAATGATTTTCTCAATGTTCTCTGCAAAATATTTCAGAAACTAGTTATTTTATCATGATTAAGTCTGATAATGTTTTTGCATTTTGTTTATTTCATGTTTATAAATGAAGAACTTTAAATAATTGGAAGAAATATTTTTTATTACTATCACATATCCTATTTGTGATATTTTATTTTTTTTGAAAAATGTTTGAAAATATTTTTTGGGTGCTTAAAAGATGCTTATCTTTTCTTTTAAAATCTGGATATGCATCCTGATTAACTTCAAAAGGAAATAATGCACAGTAATCCCAAAGTGAGAGAAGTTCTACTAAAAATTATCTTCAAAAGAATTCTTGAATCCCTTTTAAAAAATAATTCACAACAATTACAAAGTAATTGAAGTCCCACCAAAAATAAGCTTCAAGAAGCGTAAAATCCCGCATGAAGCCGCAACTTCTGATTAAATTTTCTCCTTGCCATTTAACGTTACAAAATTAACATTGTCTTCATAGCTAGTCAAAATCGTATGATTCATGTGTGTTAATTGCGCATGCTAAATCCTAAGCGTCTTCTTATATTGACATCTTAAATCAGAGTTCTGAGACAATGAATGTGCTAAATTGATTATTTGCAATATATTGCCCAGAGCTGTGGTGTCTCAGGAGATAGAGTGTTCGCCTCCCAATGAGGTGAACCAGGTTCGAAACCCAGTGATGTCAAACGAACTCATTTTTAAATCAATCCATAAATTTATTTTATTTTTTTATAAAAATAATTCTAAAAATTTTCTTTCATGAGGAGACACTTGGTCATCCCTCATTTTTTGTTCATTTACTCTTACCACTGTTCTTCATATTATTCATGTTTGTGTTGTTTTTTTTATCATGCTTTAATTGCAAAGGCTTACTTTAAAATTGTTTTGTTAAAATTTTACAATATACACTTTAAGTAAAAGGGCCCTGTAATATTCTTATACAATTAAAATTGTGCCTTTTTGATCTCTTTTAAATATTGATCCTAGTTTTATCTAAACAACTAATATGCATAATGATTTAATTAAACTTCTTAATTGAAAACTTTAGAATTCTTTTAACTTCAGAATTCCTATAACTCATAAAATATAATTGTCTGAATTAATATGTTTCACTCAGTACTAGACCTTCTGATAAAGGTTGACCTTACTCTTTGCATAAATAAAGTTTTGCTACAAACATTTATAAAATATAGATTTTAATATCTAATTAATTTAAATGGAAAGGGTATGTGGGGAATTAATGTTTTTGAAAACACTTGAGTTACTTTCATAAAAAGTTTTTTATGAAAATTAAACGTGAATTTATTGGTTACTCAAAATTTGAAGGGAGAATGTTGTTAATTTCTTTCTTGTTAATAAGCAGTGATCTTAAAAAAGGTTCGGAGCCTATTGTGTACATAGTTCAAGATTAGAAACTTCCTTCACATTTAAGACACTCAAATTGTCTTTTATATTTTCCTTGGGGAAAAGGCTTCAACAAAAAACCTTAAATTAATATTTTTTTGAATTCAGAAACCTTGTCATAAAATATATATTAGAAACTACAATTTTATTTATTTATTTTAGTGCAGAGGAAGCTGGCAGTTACTTAGAAACATATAAGATGTTTGAAAATAAGTCAGCTGATTTCATTAAAAAGAGGCAAGACAATGATAATTATTCACAGGTAATGTTATGAAAAAGATTTCATATTCTATTTAGATTATTAAATAATAACTAAAAGAAATTTCGTGTTGAAAAAGGCATCTCAATCATATTTGTTTTCATGACATTAAATAGATTTATAAATCAAAAAAAAAAATAATTATCATGCTTTGTTCTATAATCAAATTTGATTCCAAAGATTTAGTTCACAATTCTGTTGAAATAAAAATTAAACCTATATTACTATTGCAAATTATTTTACATTTTTTTTCATAATCTCTATTTAATATTTATTTGCTTAAGAAAATATTTTTTTCACAAATGTGCAAAAGGTTAATTTCTTTATAATGTTCTACTATTTTGTATTTGTTGTTTTAATTGCATATGTAGAAAAATGCTCAGTAAGTACAATGGAATAAAAAAATTATCTTTCGATTATTAGCCCAACAATTATTCATTGTTAAACTTGTGATAAAATTTACCTTTCTAGCCACTGTGCAGGGTGCAAAAATACAGCTACAGAGTTGAAAATCGACTTGTCCAAAAGCCAATTTTTGTCTCTGAACATTTTTTTTTTCATTACAATTTGTTTAAAAATTATTGCAGTTTTTTTTCCCCAATAGATGCCATTTTACTGCACAAAAGCTGCAAGACTTAAAAATTTGGAAATACAGCATGTGAAAAATTTTTACAAGGAGTACACTAGAATAAAAAAAGAAATAAGTTTCAATTATTAGTTCAAAAATTATCAACTTTTAAACTTGTAGGAAAAACCAGGTAGAACAATCTACAACCTGCTAAAGTGTGGCAACATAGTTGAAATTTAAAACCAAAAAAAAGGGATTACTTTCAAAACTCCAATTTATTTTTGCAATTTTAAGTACTTTTTTGCTTTAATTAATGACTATTTATCCATTGTTAGAAAAAAAATTCTGTTTCTCTCTTAAAATCCTCATTTTTTAAGCTCACGTTTGATTGCTGTCAAATATAACAAAAAAGTGAATAAATAAGAATGAGGGTATCAATATTGAACAAAATTGGTCAGTAAATGTCGTGATTTTAACTTTTTTTTTAAATCATGGAAAGTCATGGATTTGGGTTGCTAAAAAGTCTAATTTTTAAAAAGGAATTTACCCCCTTCCTTCAATTTCATGGTGTTCTGAATATCTGAATTTGTAACAAAATCCCCACTCACAGTCATATTTTATTAAAATATAAAATGTTTTTATCATGTTCTTTAAAAATCATGGTGTTCTTCAAAAACATCTTTTCTAGAGCAAATTATCTTTTAAACTTCTGTGATTTCAGAATTTTTGTTATTATTATTTTTTTTTTTAATTCCAAAATGAGAACAGAAAAATCAGCGGTATTTCTTTCTTTTCCGATGAACAAGAAAAGTATCTTTAGAATATAATTCTTATTACAGAAAAGAAGAAGAAAAATTATTTGCTTTCCTATTTTTTCAGCTATTTTATTGCTTCAACTCTTTCTTTGCCCTGTTTTTTTTTTTTAATTTAAAATCTACAAATATGAGGATGCAGAGTATAACAGTTTTGGTTATACCTATCATTTCAATTAATGTTATTATAATGCTTTTGAAATTTATTCTTGTGTTTTTGTCAGAAAAAATAGTAACTTCTTTAAGTCATGAATTTGAAAATCTGAAATGTAGCAGATACCCTGGATTTTGCTAGGTATAAATCTTAAAATTTACATCAAAGTTTTTAAAAATCAGTCATGAAGGTTGGCAAGCAAAGGGAGAAGCTTCCCAGTATAATAAAAGAGCACTGCTTTTAGTTTTAATTTACAATAATAATCAAAATAAGCATAGAAAAGGATTCTAAGAAAAGATAAGGAATCAATATTGCAGGTAAATACAAGTCTGGTGACAAGTAAAGAAATCTGGACCTTCTTTGTTAATTAAGGAAGCATATCATGTGAATTTCTGACCAATAAGAAGGGACCTGATAAGGGTGACAAAAGGCTCTAGACCATTATTTCTGATATTTTGACAAGAATTCTTGTAATTTTAGTGGTGTAACATTGTTGTGTATTAATGAAGATGGCTAAGGGACCTATAAAGAAAACTACAACCAACTTTTTCACATCTTCGCTTATGTACTATATATATATATATATACAGTGTAAAGTCGCGTATCCGGAATCGGTGGGGTTTCCAGAAGTCCGTATAATAGATTTTTCCGTATAATACACCCCCAAGGTAAACAAAGCTTAAAATGATTTAATAAACGATCTGAATCTAAGAAGCAAAAAATAAATAAACGTTATTTTTAAGGGGAACAATGTTTTAGCATTAGAATATCTAAATCAAATATAAAATATTAGAAAAAAAATATTATTGCTGAAAATATGGAAAACGAAAAAAATTTAACAGTTACGAAAATATTAATCCGCCATTTTGAACTAGAACGATTCAAGCAGGAAGGGGAAATTCTGGAACAAAGCTTAAAATGATCTAAATCTAAGAAGCAAAAAATAAATAAACATTATTTTTAAGGGGAATAATGTTTTAGTATTAGAATATCTAATCAATAAAACATGAAATATTAGAAAAAAAATATTATTGCTTAAAATATAGAAAACTAAAAAAAATTGACATATGAAAATAATAATCCGCCATTTTTAACTAGAATGATTCAAGCAAGAAAGGGAAATTCCCGTCATTCATTAAGGTGGGTAGATGGAGGAGAAAAATTCATTTCCTCCTTATTTGTGAAAGAAAATAAGTGTAAAGAGGAGATCATTTAAGTTGAGGGTGGGGAAGTAACAAATTATTGTTTTCTCTCCAATCATTGGCTATCAATCAAGCATAAAGGCGGGACACACTGATCGGGTTCTCTTTATTTTTTCTTTTATGACTGAAAGAATCTGCTAAAGAAAGAATGTTACCCCCTTTTTCCCCCGCCTCCTAAATATTACATGGTATGGGGAAGAACGAATGTTTTGGTCACTCAATGGTCTTGGTAGATCTTCACTTCCCCTTTCTGGTGATTTATGGGTTCAGAGGTTCAGTGCAAGCTAGAAAAAGAGAAAATTTGTCAAAAGATCTTTTTTTTAGGAAAGGTGAAGATGGAGAGATGTTTGTTTATTTTGATTTTTAAAAAGTGTCCGGGAAAGGGACGTCCGGATACGGGACGTTACACTGTATATATATATATATATAAAATTTGAGTAATTCATTTTGTGTATTTTAACTGTAACTATACTTTACCCACATGCAAGTGAAAATCTCCTAATAGTTTCATAATAAAAAACTTTTTTTTAGCTTGTGGATTGTTTGACAACAATAAGATCAATCAATAAGACAGATGCAATGGTTTTGCTTTCTACCTTTAAGGTAAGTACTACTTATAAGTTATACACTTTTACATACTTTCTCTAAAATCGCAATTTTCTCTTCTTTTCAATATTTATTCAATTGATGTTAAAAATGTGGGGGGGGTTCCATTTTATCTTTTTACAGAAAAACTGAAATAGTCCTCCTGCCTGTTAATCCCTAAAATCATGATTGTTAAGGACCTTCCCAGTTTTAATTGCATAAATTTCTTTAAATGTTTTTCATTTAAAAATAATTAAACTTAAGAGTATGGCTCTAACATTTCATTACAAATAAAAAGTTTGACACAAAAAGGGAATAAAAATGTAATGATAGGTAAAAGAAAAATGAGTTTGCGAATTACTAAAGTCCTCTAGTAAAGTTATTTATAGACTCATTCTTCCAGTTTCTCACTCCATTCACTTAAAAAATATTCAGTTAAAATAATATTATCACAATCATAAACTAAATTTTTTTTAAATATAAATTTTTAAAAATTTGCAAAAATGCTGAAAAATAAAATTATTTTAGTATGCAAGGGCAAATTCTGGATATTATCTCTATACAGAATCAATTTGTAAAGGCAAACCATTTTTGTAAAATGTGTATGAAAGTTAAATAGTTCTCTATGAATGTTGAATATTACTACTTCATGTTAAAAACAAAAATATTTTCTCTTAGACTCTAAAAGGTATTGTGTCAGCATCTGTTGAAGAATTAACACTATGTCATGGTATGGGGCCATTAAAAGTAAGTAATGGAATTTGGGTAAATTAGAAAGTTTTGTCTTAAATAACTTCTTCCACTTTTTATATCTAATAATCAAGTTCAAAAGAAAAAAAAAATTTCTCCAAAAGCTTATTTAAAAAGTTTTTTTTTTAATGAAGTTTCTTAATCAAGAAACTTGTTAAATCTTTTTTTATTTGTCGAGTTTATTTGTTTTGAAGAATATGCAACATTTTTGGTGTTGCATATCCAGTGAAATTTACACTTGACTACTTAAATAAGACAAAATAGGTTTTTCTGAGAAACATTCTCACATTTGAAGCTATATTTAATTAGTTATGCTCCACAAAGTCCTATATCCAAACTTCCATTTTTAGAAGCATAAATGCCATACAATTTTAAACAATCCAAATTAATGAATCTCTTTTTCAAAAAAGGAAAAGAGATTTTTTTTCATATTGTCATGTTTCACGTATGTCACAGAAACCCTTCTGCACAACAGCAGGCACAGTAGTACATTTTTCATCTCAAATTTTTTAAAAAATCAATGAGAAAAAAAAATGAACAAAAGAAAGATTTTTATAGTCTCATTAATGAGTCTCATTCTAAGCAAATCTGCAGCAGTTCATAAATCAAAATTTATCTGCAACTCAAGTGCAGTTAAATGTAGAATAGATATTATAAAAATTAAAATTACCCTAACTTATAGCTAATTTAAATTTAATTTGAAATCTCTATAATAATGTTCAAAAGAAACTGGGAACGAAACCATAGAGAAAGCATCCAAATAACTAATGATAAAAAAAATTGGCATCAAGTTCAAGATTTATGTAATAAATATATGTCTCTTAAGATATATCACTCCAGATAAAAGTTTTTCAGACTATTGTTAAAAAAAATTTTATCCTACTTAAACATACTCATAGCAAAATTTGCACTTGTGAACATGGGACGGATACAAAAATTTATTCCTTTTCAACTTTAATTCGAAACTTAAACAACAATACTTATGAAGAAGATTTAAATTAATCCATAGCTTCAAAATATCAAATCAGCTTATTCTAACTACAAAAACAAATTATAAATTATCTCTGATTCAAAACTGGAAAAGAAATAGTATTTTTAAGCTAAGTGAAAAAATTTAACAATTTTTTTTAAGGAAAAAAAATATTTTGCTCTTTTTAAAAAAAAAATTTAATAAGTTTTGGCTTGTTACGAATATATTTTATTGAAGAAAATTGTACCACAGCCCATAGTAAAAACTTTTCTCTCAAACTTAAATTTCTGAAACTGTTTTTGCAGCACTGCATGCTGACACCTGCCTAATACATAGTTTTGGGTGCCAGATTAAAAAAAAAAAGAACAGAAATTATTACTTATCATTCAGTTATGGGGATAAAGGAGAAAAATCTTTACATTTTCACTTGATCTTTATTTTATTTAAAAAATTTACAATTTAAAAAAATATGTACGTTATCCTGCTATCAGTTTATTGTTATCAATATTATTCTTTTTAAAATATGAAGAGAAAAAAGTTGCAGATGGTCAAAGAAACTGACACTCTTCACAAAAAAAGTATATCTGCATTTTAAGTAAAATTATAAAGGTAAATTGACAGAATATAGCAACATAAAACAAAAAATAGTTAAGTAAAACAATTATTCAAAATATTTCTGCATCAAATGTAATATTATATAATGTACTCTGTATTTAATGTAGCTTTAATTCCATTTAGTGAACTGAAAATAATAAAAATTGAAGAATATTTTAGAGGAGAGGAAGAAATGATTTGTGGTTAGTGTAAAAGTTTGGAATTACTCTCTTGAATTGTTGAAAATAAGAAACTAAATATATCTGGAATATAAATTTAGAATAAAAAAACATCTATAGAAATGCTAGCTTAGGAAAATTCCTTATCAAAGATTCTGGTTAGTTTTCTTTGATTAATTGAAGTTTTTAAAAATAATTAATTTTGTAGGAGAGGGGGAAATGATTTGTGGTTAGTGTAAAAGTTTGAAATTACTCTCTTGGTTTGTTCAAAATAAGAAACTAAATATATCTAGAGTATATAAATTTAGAATAAGAAACTAAAAATTATCTATAAAAATATTAGCTTAAAAAAATTCATTTTCAAAGTTTGCAGTTAGTTTTCTTTAATTAATTGAAGGTTTTGAAAATAAAGAAAATATAAAATTAACATTTATTTATTTACTAATTTCTAAAAATTTTGTTTCTTTGGTTGAACGTTTTTACTGTATTAAATTTAAACTAGATAAATTTTTTAATATATAATTTTAATCTCCTTTAAGTATACAAATTTTGCTATATGTTCGATCAGTACTAGGATGTTGATGATAAACACATTTTCTGAATTTTAGAATGTTTTTTTTGGGGGGGAGGGGGGCATTATTGATGTTTTTTTGATTCATTCATATTTTTTAAACTTTTTTTAATGATTTTTTATGAACTTCGAATGATAATTTTCATTTTATGGGAATTTTGCTTGTTTGTTAATTTTTTTTATTTTATAAATTTTGCATTGAATCTTGCTATTTTAATATCCTCCAATAACAAAGGTTGATGTTGAACATAGTTTCTTAAGATATAAGAATTTGCTTTTTGACAACAGAAAATCCTTCAATTTTAAGCATATCAAAAATCATTTGATACCACAGTGCAATTCAGATGTTCTTGAAAATAGTAATGAAAAATTTTTTTATTTGTTTTCATTACTTCTTTATTTATTTAATTTTAAAATACAGCGATTCCCGTTTTAGCGAATTCCAAGGAACCAAAACAATCGCTACTTAATAACCAAAATTCATTGTACCGATATTACGAATTTTAGCATTAACCAAAACTATTTTATTGCATTGGAATTTTTCGCATAAAAAAATAATAAATATTGCATTTTATTACAGTTTGATCTATTTGTACCCCACACTTAGAAAATATCAAATCAATATTTTAAAATCTCACAAAAACAATTAAATTAAAAGAAAATAATGGATTTATTATCACTTACGTATCAGAAATTCCTTAATCCGTAATTTTTTTTCAGTACAAATTATTTAGAACCAGTACAAATAACAAACTTCGCCAAATTACGCTCATTTTCAAACAACTAACTGTACTGGAAATCACTCTTTTGGAAAGACTCGTGTATTTTTACTTCTTTAAACATGATTGGGTTATGGTTTAGTCTTTTCGGTGTGGTCCCTTTTGAGTGATTCGCCTTCTTTGACTTGTCCCTTTCATATCTGAAATTTTTTATTTTGAAAATGCAAAAATATTTTAATTCTGAGATCATTGTGTACTTATGAAGAATGGAAAAATATTTTGATCCTGAGAGAAAATGAGAATTGTTGCTTATTTTCACCTTTATTAAATCTGATTAAGAATTTTGTAGCATTGTTATTTTTAATTCATTGTTTGTATGGAGATTCATTTGGGGATTCGAAAAATATTCGTTACATTGAAATTTTTATTCTTTCAGATATATATAAAGCATGTTTCCGGAAATTTTTAAGGATATTATTTTTCAATTTAAGATCATCAGTATCCTTGATTTGTACATGGTATATTGAACTTATCTTAAACAATAACTTATGATTGGCATCGCAAACAAAATTGAATTTTGAAGATAGTGATGCATATTGGCTGAGTAAATTTAGTTTCCTGAAATGATGTGTCTTGTTGATATTCTGATATCTCAATAAATTAGTGTTGATTCTTAGAGTAAAAAATTACTTCTTTTTAATAAACTGATATTTTTCTTGCATGTGTTAACCAAAGCCATTTTAAGATTTCTGCCTTTTATTTCAACAAATTTAGGATAGTAAAAATTATGTCTTGCTTTTATTTCAAGTTTAAAAACTTCCAAATGGGAAAATACATATCACCTAACATTTAACTCTTTGCGTCTTAGTGTTCCTACTTTTAAAATAAAGTCAAGAAATAGGTTTCAAACAATTGTTACTGATTGTTTTTATCTAAATAAACCTCTTTTTCTTAAAAATCACTTAAAGGCTGGTACTTACATGCATTGATTTAAAGTCTTATAAAAACATGTATAAAAGATATAAACTTAGAAAAACATTTATAGTGAAATAGGGCAAGAATATTATTTTTTAAAATGTATCTTTTTTTTTTAATTTTATTTTATTTTCATTAATATGCATAACTTTATTAACTAAAATTGGAAATAATCTTTGCATATTTTTTTCAGGCCAACAGATTGTATGAAGCATTGAGAAAACCATTGAAAAAGGAAAAAATGAAATAAGGCTTATATTTATTTAATAGTTTTATTTTATTTTTTCTTACAAGATATGCTGTATATATTTTTTTTACTTCTAATGTTCTGTTAGGTTATTTTTAATGTCTTCATTTTTTCTACTTTCACATTGAAGTGACCTATTTCAACATCATGTTTTCATGTAAATAAATGCATTTTAAAAAAATGAATTAAGTCTTACTACATACAGGGTGACAAGAAATAACCTTGCTTATTAAAATATCACTACTGAACTTAGAAATATACATGATAAAATTACTACCAGTACGATATTTACAAAATATTTTAATATGGCTACTGTTGCAGGGTTCGTAGCTGTTTCCTATTTTTATTTTGTTTCTTACTTTTCCTGATTAAAAACATTTTGACCTAATCTTTCTGATATTCCTGATTTTTTTTTATTCTAAATGTACAATTTTATATGATTTTTAAATAATCATTTGTGTTTTTTTAAGTTTCTTTCAGTTGGAAAGAAAACTGGACAGAAAAATCAGTGTCAATCAATCAAATCAATGTCAAAACCAGCTTTTATTTTTTTTTAATTAAATCTGAGACATCTATAAATGAAGAGAAGCATAAAAAACAAAGCAATTTTATGTTCCTTTTTCTGCAGAAGAATAAATAATTGTCTTATTAAGCACCACCCTTCAAGCGAGATTGTTTTCTATTTTTGTCACTTTACACTTCTTTTCATCATACGCTAAACACAGGCATTCAACCCCAAGGTCAAGCACAACAGGTGTTTTTTATGCATAGGATATTGAAGAAGAACAAGTGTTTTCTTTCCCTTTTTTGAGTTCAATTTACATAATGAATTTAACTTTATGATTTTCATTAAAAATCAAGAGAAGTTTCGTGACGTGTTAAAGGCAGTGATATTAGTAAAACAATTATTTGTTATATCAAGGAATAAAAGGGTAATAAAAAATCGGGATTTAAAAAAGCGAGTAAAAAACAATTTAGACAATTTTAAAGAAGTAATATTTTTCTTCCATATTAAGATTTCATTATTTTTAGACAACCGAATCTAACTATGCTCTTGCTGAATTCCAAAATATACCTGATATAAAAGTTAAATACGGCTGCGAGAATCTTTCTACTAAAAATATTTTAAATTAACTTATTGTATTGTAATTTTATTGTCTGTTTTAAATACACTATTATTTTGTACCTCAAATGACCTACGACTGTTGAAAGACTGAATATTGTGTGTTATTTTGGTTTCTTTATGGGCGTTTTGTTATTCTAACAGTAACAAACAGAAAGTTCTTTGTTGTTCTAAGAGAAAAGGCAGGAATGGCACTCTTGCATTTGATTGACGCTTTTCCATTTTATGAATAAAAAAAGTTTTTTTTTTCCTCAACTTTCATTAAAAATTGCTTAATGCTAAATTTGCTTAACTTTTGTTAAAAATAAATATTGTTAGTTTTCACTTGCTGTCTCCATTATCTAAAAAAATATTAAATTGCGTATTGCATTCTATTTTCAGATAGTAGTAAATCCTTTTAGTGATTATTATTATTCTAAAAAGTCATGAAAATATTAATTAGATTTGGGGACAACTCACTATTATTATTCACCAGTATTAATTTGGTACACCTCAAATCTTACTTGTTTTAGAATAAGTGTTGCATAGCTGTCAACTCTGCTGGATTTTCCAGTAGACTACTGGATTTTGCCAGTTTTTCCTGGTCTACTGGTTTAATAAAAATTCTCCTAGTTTTTGTGCATTTTAGAAATTTCCTAAAATTGAGTAAGTTTGCTAAAAAAACTCCTTTTGAAATAGAATTTTATCACAGATTAATATTATTGTTTCTTGAATATTTAAATAAGTTTTACTAATACATAATTAAATGAGCCTCTTTTATTAAAATCAGCTTAAAGCTTTTTTTTTTCTAAAATGAGTATATTTTTATTCAGAACTCCCTTTTTAAATTAATTAAAAAATCTTTTAACTATCTTTGATGAATCAAATATCTATTACTATTTAAAACATAACAGTTCAAGTTCATTTAATGTTAATCATATGATTGCAAATTTTCTATTTTGATAACTAAAAAAATCCCTGAAATTCCCTTAGTACATTTTGCATGAATTATCGTAAAATCAATATCTTTGCGTAAAATCTGCTGGATTTTTTCCTATCCATGTTGGTAGCTATGGTGTTGCCTGTTTTTTTGAAGAAGAAAAAAAATCAAGGAAATATGCCACATAAAGTAAAATTATCATAGATGTGGATTACACTATTTTTTTTATTTAGCTGTTTTCCTCTTCTTAAAAAATGTCTTAATTTTCTTTTTTGAATTATTGGTCTGGTTTTTATTTTGAACCACAACGTGGCCTACTGTTGACTCATAATGCAGAACTGTAAACTTTTCTCAATATTTTGTGCTATACAGACTGCAAATGACTTCTGATATTTTGCCTCATTCCATGTGCTAAGAGGTTTTTAGGTTTGTCAAAGTTCTGTGATACTTTGTACAGACGCTTGTCTCTAAAATAAAGCAAGCAGAAATTTCTACAGAGTCAGTGAATAAACTAGAGGTTTGATATAATTTAAATCAATTAATTCTTTGTTTGAAATTTATTGATTTAAGTTGATGGAATTGTTTTTAAATAATAATAAAAAAAATATCATGGCTTTATTGGTATTAAAGATTTCATGCAGAGAAATAATGCCTAAATTATTATTTGATGTTTAAAATAGATTTATCTAATGAATAATATTTAAAAAAATATTAATAAATACTAATATTAAAAATTTTTTAATAATAATATTTTTTGTATGCAAAATAATTATCCGTATGATACACACATATTTCATTGACTTTTATGTGTTTGTAAATAATAAATGTTAAAGATAGACTTGTTTTGCCATATGCAATTTATAAAAATTATTTTTTTATGTTTCCAGACTTAAATCCATTTATTGTTCATATGAAATCTAAATGACAAATTAAATCTTTATATTTAAAATTTCATGAGGTTATTGGTCCTGAATAAAAGTAACTTTCTTTTTTTCATTTAATGAATGATGAAATGAAAAAATAAAATTTTATTCATCCCATAATAATTTTAACCATTTCAGTAAAAAATCTAAAGTATTTTAATTATAATATTGTTTTTAGACAATATTGAAGATTAAATGAATAATTCCAAAAAACTGAAACTGTAAAATATTATTTATTAAAATACTTCATCAGCTTAAAAAATATGTTGATGGTCATAAAAGTGGACATGTTTAAGTGCTCGAAAATAGCCTATTTTCCAGACTTGCCAGATGTGAATGAGAAGAAACAAAGGTGATTTAAAATATAAGATGTTAAGTTACCAATTAAAAAAAAATAAAGGGAAGAAACAAAATTAGAAAAACTGCAGAAGCTGAAAGTAAGACAAAGATGGAAAAACAGAGGATCTTTAAGAACCACTGTGGTCGAATCAGGTTATGTCCATTATTAGGAGTACAACAAATCACCAATTGCTGCACATTTTTGGGATATTGGGCTTTAATTCAATTTATACAATGCCAAAATTATCTTCATCCCAAGTGCATCAGCTCATCTTGATACCCTGAAATCTTGTTTCTTTCATATGAATGCCAAATCCCTTGTTATTGAGATAAGTTCTTCTCGGCCACAATGTTCTATTTTTTTCACTCACGGCTACAGCAGGGTTTTTTTTTTTTTTTTTTTTCACCTTTATTTTCCATCGACTTTTCGTTTTCAGGGCCACTTAACGTTATCAAGCACTACAACAGTGATACGGTGTTTATTTTTTATTTTCGTTTTTGAAAGCCCTTAAGGGTGCTTTTTTTCATTGGGTGTTTTTAAAAAGTGCTTAGTTTTCCCTTTCTAAAAATAAGGTTTTTTTCTTTACCATGTCGATTTTCGCCAGGTATTATGCAAAAGCTTGCTTTTCACATTGTTCTATACAACTTTTTCACAATTCATTCAACCACCATCTATTTTAGCGTACTGTCAGTCCATAGCATTAGAAAGCGTACATGATTTTAGAGGTTTGATGAAATACATGCGTGTCCGCATGTGCATATAGTGAACTGGGTTCGAGGAGATTCTTGCACTCTCATGTGCAACTCTGCTACATTTTGCAAGATATTCTCAATTTCAGATTTCATTTTCCACCCTCTGATATCAAACCGAAAAATTTCTCGATCATTTTATAACGGCTAATATAATCAAGAAAAGAGTTCTTCGTCAAAAATTAGTTGTTTTATCATGATGACAATTGTTTTGCATTTTGTTAATATATAGAGTGCTTAAAAATATTTTTTGAGTCCTTAAAAGGTGCTTATTTTTTGTTGAAAGATTTAGCAACGCTGGATAAGGTGCTAAGAGAGTAACAGCGACATTAAACAAGCATTCTTGCAGATTGTAAATCCTGTAGACAGAGATGTGTTTGCGATTCTTGTGGCTTGTGGTTAAAGGATACTGAAAGCTCAACTATCGTCTAATATAGACACTGCCTTGTCGTTTTTGGGATCACCTTTCTTGCTGAATACAGCGATACTGCATCATTTTGGCCTAGAAAAATTTAAAGGTTAAGATATGACTTCTACAAGGAGGAAGTTGGGTTTTACATGAATAACCTGGTACCAGTGTTGAAGATGATGATCAGTTTCTACTTCTGAAAAGACAGGCAATTAAGATAATGGCTGCTTGAAAGAATGCAGGAAGACAGTGACGAGCTCAGCGGGGGTACAGAGAGAAGTTGTAAGTCAAAGATTCTTAAACTTTTCGAAGTACCCAATGATAGTATGAATGGTTGCTTGGATTCTCCGTTTCTGTGTAGACTCTCGTAAAGTTCAAGAGAAGATTGAAGGAGCTATGCCCAGTGAAGAATTTAAAAGTGCTGAACTATGTTTAATAAAGATGATTCAACGCGAGTGGTCAGTAGAGATCGGGAAGAATTATGAACAATGAAATTTTATGAAGACGAAAGTGTTCTGAGAGTCAAAACTCGCCTAGTGCTTGATGAAGATAGCGAGTATTTTCAATACCCTATTGTTGTATCTGATCATTCAATAACTCTTCGTTTAATTGAGTATACGCATCATGCTGGTGTACAGACCTTTCTAGGACATTTGAGAGAAAGATTTTGAGTCCTCAGAGAAGTGAGGATTATCAGGGAAGTTATTTTTAAGTGTATTCGCTATAAGAGATATTCTGTGAAACATGCGACAACAGAGTGCCCCCCATTTCTAGCCGATCGTGTTTGGAAATGGGCTGCCTTTCAAGTTGCCAGTCTTCCTACGAAGAGTTATCAAGGCTTGGATCATATTGTTTACCCTGCTGTGTATCGTGCCGTGCACCTTGAGTTGTTCATGTCTTTGTGAACAGAAGCCTTTATTCAAGCATTGCGAAGATTCATCCCTCGTAAAGGGAGATGCAATGTCATTTATACAAACCGAGGAACATATTTTTCTGGGTACTTCAAGAGCTCTGCGAAACTTGGACTGGAAAGCTAAACTGATAACATCGATTTTTAAATAAGAAGAACTGATTCAAAGTATGAGAAGTCCACCTTAGACTTTAAATGTTAAAAGCAGACTTGAGGAGTCTCCTTGGATCCACACTTTTTACCCAGCAAACACGACTAGGACGTCAAATTTTCCACTGCAGTCCATGCACCTCTCGCAAAAAGTAGTGCGCCTTTGATCCAGCAATAATGCTACATACATTACTAAAAGAGATACGAAATTAATTATCACCAAAACAAAATTAAAATGTTTACAAATAAAGAATATATGGAGAAAAATTTACATACCAAATAACAAATATCAGCAGTGATTCGGGCTATCGAAGCGGGGGTGCCATCCCCTCCGCACAGGATCAAAATTGTGATGGTATGTCTTCGGATCATCCTTCGGGATGTTTCCCAGACCGTCGCCAATAGCCCATTGTGCAACTCTAGTGTGACGTAAACGAACTACAACAATCACTGTTGATGTTGTTAATTTACGTCGCACTAGAGCTGCACAATGGGCTATTGGCGACGGTCTGGGAAACATCCTGGAGGATGATCCGAAGACATGCCATCACAATTTTGATGCTCTGTAGATGGGGTGGCACCCCGCTTCGGTAGTCCGATGACCAGCACGTGGAATCGAGCACTTTACGGTAGAACAGTTTAACGAGGACCAATACCGCACACACTCGGTCCCTACGGAGACTGGTCCAAGTGGTTACCCACACTCACATTGACAGCAGCCAGTGCTGCTTGATTTCAGTGATCTGCTGGGAACCATGTCTTAACGATCAGTCCACTGCGGGACAATATCAGCAGTGAAGTAGCCGCAATAAACGAGCATCTGGTAAATGCGTCGAACTAAAAGCCATTTAAAATTATTTCGAAAAGTAATCCACTAATCTCTTTTATTGATAAGTATATTGTATATTCTTGAAAATGAGGACATTGTATATATGTATAAGACAGTGTTCACAAAAACATATATATATATATTTTCGTGATTTCGTTTCATCATTCCCCTTCAAACTTCTCCGCCATTTCCACCAACCAACAAGCTCTTGGCGATCATCTATTTTAACTAGTGAGAACGGTTCCTTTAATTTGGAACGGTGGATCTTTTTTTTTTCTCTGATAGCATACTTTTGATGGCAACAACACATTTCTAAACAATCAATCCATCAATAAATGTTGGTTGAATTTCTGACTACTTTAAACATTTAGGAACAAATTTTTTGTCGTTAACTTTACATGTTTCGTTAATTTACTTAGTATAATGATTAATCAATTTGTCAAGAATAAAAATATATGATCAATTCATTTTCATCACAATCTTCCCATTTCTTGTTCATTCACTAAAAGACTCTTACTTGCTTTAAAGGTTTTTAAATTTTCATTAAAATTTATGTAGTTTCAGAAAAAGCGGGGCTCAACTATCATTGGATATCGTCAGAAAAAATAGGAGTTTCTTGTTTAAATTTTACTTGTTTATAAATTTTGTTTCACTTTCTGTTACTGCTTTTAAGATTTATATACTTACTACATCTGCTAGATAAATTTTATTTCTGAGGTGAATTTTATATTTAATGTCCATTTCAGACTCTAAATTTCTTAGTTTTCATGTCGTATCCCCTTGTTAAAGTAATAGATGATTGCATGTTATTCATTTTATAAATAGTTATTTATCAAAATGTTTTTGTTTTGTGAAGCATGCAATAATAATTCTTGTGACTTTCGGATATCGCCTTATGAGACACTTAAAAAAATCACAGAAGGGGACCAATTTGAACACCTTTCTTGGGACCCGCTGAAGGGGTGAAAGGCTGAGTCAACCTTGCCTGGGCTGAGGATCGAACCCAGGACCTGTGACACGGGAGTGCTAAGCTCTCCCACTCAGCCACTCAACTATCATTACATGCATATTTATTCGTAGTTATATTCTTATGTTCTATGACTCTACTTTTTAAAGTACTATGTTAGAATATATTTTTCTACTTTTTAGAACATATAACGTCACGAACTTGTTATCTCGAAAATCTTTTACCTCCCCTTCAACTTTAAAATATAGAGAGTATACTTACTGTGCATGCAAATGTAGGACTACAAGTTATTGAATATGGAATAGAAATGTTTCATTAACTTCTGAAAAAGGGGCTAAAATAAACAAATTGCAAAATTATTTTCACAGCTCTTTTTATTTATGTATGTTTTTTTTTTAAGGAAAGTAAAACTTTTGAAATGACGAAATTAATAATTGTTTTGTCTTATATATTAATTGCAGTTCATACATATTTCAGTATAGGGTAACTTAACATACCATTTATTAAAGAAAATCTCACTAATAACAGCTGTTAGAATAATGTTTTTACTCAAATAAGTAAATAATACTTTATTTATGTATTCAAAGGAAGATATTCGAATACATAAATATTGCAAATGTATTTGTATTTCTGGAGCCATCTTGTTTTTATGTATGTTTTGCAACTGATATTTATATTTTTTACTTATTCTTATTTGACTGAAGAAATGCAAGAGCCAAGAGAAGAGGGTGATGGCGAAGAAAGTCAAGCTGCGCCCACACCTTGGAAACCGAATGAAGATTACTTACAAGTTTTAACTGGAATGGGTATTAGTGCGGTGGCAGCTGAAAAAGTAAGAATTAAGAACCTGAATTTAATTAAGCACCAAAAATTAACCAAACTTGTTTTTATAATTGCTATAACAGTGATCATATTTGTCCTGATTTTCTTAACAATTTTTTTTTTTTATATTCTGATTTTGATCTGGAATCTTGTTAATTCTGGGTTTGACATTTTTTTTTTATGTAGTACAAATAAGAATCCTCTATTGAAATTCTAGTATATCTTATACTCTATGTGACAAGTATGTAGTTCTCATATCTATGTTAAATTTTTAGGCATTATTTTATACTGACAACAGATCTCCTGATTTAGCTGCTGCGTGGCTTTTTGAAAATTCTGAAGCTGACCTTGAAACCTCCCTCGCTGTAAGAAGAAATTTTATTATTAATATAAAATTAAATTGAAAAATGCTGGGAATTTATTGCATTGTTAACAATTAATTTTTCAATATAGAGAAGAAATTCTTCTGTGTAACTGTAGCAAAAGAGTGTGTTTTCTCTGCTCATTAAATGTTAGTCCTCTTTAATATCACAGTTGCTCTTTTCATGATTTTATTATAGGATGGAACACTTCCTCATTTCTCTCTAACTATGTGTGAAGCCTTTAATAAGAATTTCCCACAATCGTGGATTAAACGGGATATTTAATTGCCTATTACGAAGTTCATATGTTACATCAGTTTTACTTTTGAACATTGTGTGTATCACCATTTAAAAACCAGGTATCAGAGGCACTGTAGTTTTCACGTGACATGGACAAAGAATGCTTTAATGTCTGTTGAGCACATATGAAATTCCATTCAAATGCGTATAAAAATTTACTTTTATAAACAGGTTATCTTTTGTCCGGAATGATTATTTTCTTTTTCCGGGCTATGATTGCTGAGGTTTTTTTTCTCTTGTTTCTTCAACCAATTCATAATCTGTTTTAAATTTTTTGAAAAATGGTCCACTAAACTTAGTTGTCCTTTTAATTAAATCAAAAATAACTACTAGAATAGTAGTTGAAATATATTAAATGCTCCAAAATAGTAAAAGTCCACAGTGCATCTATTTCTGCAAACTACAAATTGAACTCCTGCCAAAACATGTTCTAAATTGATGGCATCAGGAAATATTAAGATCCGGCAGGTGGTTCTTTAGAAATGGTACGTGCGTACTGACTGAATCCCATCACCAGCCTATATATGTGTGTGTATGTTATTTTAGTAATATTTTGAAAAACTTTACCAAACAATAAAATGAACTAATGCCTCAGGTTTTATCAGATAAATGAGTCAGGGAATGTGGCTTAATATATATAATTCCTTTTTTTGTTGTTAAACAATATCATTATTGTGTTGTTTGAAGAAATAAGCCATTGAGAAGATAGAGGAGGGCTTTGGTGGAAGTTTTAACGCATGGGCAGGCAGAGGGAGAGGGGGGTAAAAAAAGGAGGATTTTTCTTTTAAGTTTGAAATGGGGCCACAATTAGAATTAAAAATTTGTACTTCCTTTCATACAACTATCCTTTTAGTAATGCAGCTCTAAATTTTTATGTATGTCATTTATAGCAAGCACATTAAATTATCTGGATTAATATTTGTATTTTTTTGCTTAACTAGATATTAAAGTTATTCTGCCACATGGTCAAATTCTTGTAACATTAGTGTTCAATGGCAGACAAACTAATCAACATTAAAATTATGTATATTAAATTATTATTTATGATTCTTATTTCTATACAAACTTTATGTTTAAATTTCTTCTGTATGTGTTGTTGGTAATTTAAATTGACTATAGTTGATAACTATTCTAAAACTTAATTATAACCAATTTAATATTGTTACCCTACTTTAGAAAAATTCACAACACATTTCTTAATTATTATATTCCACTATAGACCACCTGGATTATCACCACACTGTTCAGTACAAAAGATGTTAACTTGCTTCAAACTGTCTTTTTGACTTTTAACTGTGTTAGTCCCTCAGTGGACTGATCATAAAGACACAGTTACTAATAGATCCCCAAAGTCAAGCATCACTGGCTACGGTCAGTAAGCGGGTGGGTAACCACTTTGATCAGTCTGGTAGGGACCAAAGGTTTGCGGTGTCGGTCCTGGTTAAGCTATTCTACCGTATAGTGATCAACTTCACGCAGGTCGTCGGGCTACCAAAGCAGGGAAGCCATCTCTTCTGCAGAGGATCAAAATTGCGATGTCATGTCTTCCAATCATCCTCAGGGATGTTTTCCAGACCATCGCCAAGAGCCCACTGTGCAGCTCTAGTGCAACATAAATAAAGTATCTACCTATCACATAGCTGTGTTATTGTTCCTTGGATAAAACTTATAGCCCGAAAAACATCATCTGCATCAAAAAGATATTGCCAACCCAAAAAACATGAAAAAGGAATTTTTCCAAGATTTGGTTAGTTGAGCTGGGGTGGTGGAGTTCAGAAGAAAAGTTTTGAATCACAAAACTGTTATGTAGATCACTCGCTAAAATCCAAGTTTGCTCGTTAAAAACAAGCTTGTCGCTTTGATATTCAGTTTGTTTTATCTTAAATTTGAGTTTTAGTTTGATGTATTGTTTTTTTTATACATGCTTTTATTTTGTGTTTCACATATTTGAAATGTTATTAATCAAGAACAACTGCTTCATCAATAGGCAGAAGCTGGTATATCTGCTGATTCTGCATACGACGATGTTTACAAAATGGCGTTTGTTGTTAATACGAGTTTGAATATGGGAGCAGGTAAACTGGCATCACAGGTAGCTCATGCCGCCATTGGATTGCATCGTCTTTTGTTGCAAAATGAGAACAAATATGGAGAAATGGTTTTACAATGGACTGAAGATGGGTGAGCTTTATAATATTTCTACTTGTTTCCCATTTTGTGTTGTTTTTACACCTAGAGTATGTCTTTTCTTTTAAGAAAAGAAGAAACTTTCTCAATGTATGTAAATTTCATTGAAATTTATGACAAAGATTGTATTAGTAGTTTAAAAGTATTGTTATTTAGTTAGTTAAGAGTATTGTTATTTAGTTACTATTACAACTATTTAATAACTATAATAATTTATTAACAAATTATTTATTATACCTCGCAATATAAATTCAGAAATTAATTTAAAAATTAAAAAAGATGTGCTAAATCTAACAATTTAAAATATCAAATAAATCACTTCATTTGTTTGTTTTTTAAAATCAAGTTTGATTTTTGCCAAAAAAAGAATTAAAGCCACATCTCTGGGAAAAAATAAAATGCATAAGCTAAAACAAGACAAAATTAAAATTTGTTACTTCTATTTTATGATGTTACGGATTTGAAAGGAAATTATTTGAGGAAATTATTGAGGTTATTTGAAAGGAAAAAGTGCCAAGAAAGTGGAGTGTTTTTCTTTTTATTAAGTAATTAAATGTAAAATTTTAATGATGTTTCAATTATGAAACATGTTTTAAGTTACTTGACGTATGTTGTTTGAAATAGATCGTGTTTATCATAAAACATACTTAAAAATTTAAACTGCAGCAGAGACAGATAAAGTTTAATGATTTTTCAAATTAAAAATGTATCCTAAAAATTTGCTAACGCTTAGAGTGGCCACTCTACTTGTCAAAAACCATGAAGAGTTTTTGCTTTTCGCTCTTTTATCATTTGTATTCGAAATTTTAATACCGCGATTGACGACAATTGTCAATAATTATTTATATATAAATTAATTTATTTATCACTAAAATTTAATTGCAAGGAACTTGTATTATCAATGCAAAAAATGTCATCTGAGTTACTATTTGCCCATATGGCCTTTTTTTTTAAATAATAAGTATGAAAGTATGCAAAAAATATTAAGCTTTAGCTCTGAACATTGATTGTTTTAATTCTGTTATTTGTTTAAATTACTGTATCTAATTTAAATTACTGTATCTAATTTAAATTACTGTTTAAATTATTGTATACATAGATTCAAAATTGTTTATTTTGCTTTCAGTACAGTTGTAACCTTTTTAATAAATACTATTTTTTATAAGTAAAAACTAATCTATTATGAAAAATTGCCTAATAATCTTATAACATATCTATTAATAAGACTGTACTAAAGCAAAATTTAACTATGAACTTGAGGATAAATTCAAAGCTTTTATTCATGACTGTTTCTTTCCTGACCTACTTTTTTTTTCTTTTTTAAAAAAAAAGAAAAAACTGTATTCAAAACTATATTCGTGAATCAAAAAAATTATGAAATATATTTCAGGAATAGCTCGACAAAATAGCAATTTTAATCTAGTAAATTGTTATTTAACATCCTGTGGGGCATGTTCTTACTATCTTCAAATTTTACTCTACGTTTAAATGTCAGAGCAATTTTAGATCTAAGCTATGTGATTGTATGGATTTTTCAAAAAGATAAATTTAGAATACGCTTGCAAAAATGGGGTAAATTTTTTTTATTTGAAATTTTTGTCATATAACTGTGTATGTAAATGAGGATAGATTGTTATACAAATTTCAATACTTTTACTTTAAAAAAAGTAACTCAGTTATACCAAATGTTGCAGAAAAAGCCTGCATAACATATGCTCACAACTAGGTGTGGTCCATCAGCACTCAGTTTGTGTTTGTGGCCCATGAAATCTATATATATATATTTCTGCAAGATACTTTTAATAATAACAAATATGTATGTTACTAATTGAAAGTAGCAAATATGCTGTGTTTACAGAAAAGANCTATTCTTGAAATTATAAAATAAAAATACTTGGAAAATGTTAACTTTTTTTTGTAATCATGAATTGAAAATTAAAGTTTCAACATATTAACACATACTGTTCATTCGCTGGGAAATCAGTGCCCAGTAAGGGAACATGCCTGTTCCCTCACTGGTTAGAGGTTATTTTTTGTATTTTTAACATGCTTTTGATGCGGAACATCACTAAAGGTACAGGAAAATAAAAGTTTATCTTTTATTTTCATTAACTTAGAGAAAAACCCAGTAGCAGAACACTTGTTCCTTCACTGGTTTTTCATCGTTTGGTGATCCAGTGAATAAACACCCCCTTACCACAGAACTTTATTATGCTATGCTTAAAAAAAATAAAACGTAACTTCAATAACTATATTTTGAATTCTCTTTTTCACAGTGAGAAAAATAAAACTATTACATGCAATTAATTCAACTTCAAACATATAAATACAAACACTCACCTTATAATTTTTTCAAAGGAACAAGTTGTTGCAGAGATAATAACAAATTTAAAAAAATTTTCAGAGAAGTCTATGTGACCAGGTAATCCAAAACATTGCTAGATGACTTCCTATTGTTTTGCAGTAAGCTATTGTTACCAATCAATCTAAAGAAAAACTTTCAAGTTCTTATTTTTAATAAATATATATGAAATGTTCCTTCACTGGGTTGTGTTCCTCCACTGGTTGGTTTACCCTATAACTGTGTATGTAAATGAGGATAGATTGTTATACAAAATTCAATACTTTTATTTTAAAAAAAGAAACTAATAAAAAAAAGTAACTCCGTTATACCAAATCTTGCAGAAAAGGCCTGCATAACATATGCTCACAACTAGGTGTGGTCCATCAGCACTCAGTTTGTGTTTGTGGCCCATGAAATCTTCATATACACCCTGTAGCAGAATTTTTTCGAGCTATCTGCGACTAATCTCTCTAGCACAAATATCTTTCTGCAAGATACTTATAACAAACATGTATGTTATTAATTGAAAGTAACAAATACGCTGTGTTTACAGAAAAGATTATATAACTTTTTTAAACTGAATAAGTAATAATTTTTTATTTTAATATTATGAATGATATTCTCGCATTTTATTGGGTGAAAAGCGCACAAATTATTTGTGCGCTTTTCCAAGTTATTAAATTTTGTAAGTAATCATCACAATAAAAGAAAAGTAATTAAAAATCATGAAATTCGTGGTTGTAATAGCTGGAAAAAAAGATCGACGACGAAATCACGCGAATCGGACTCCTCAAGTGCGTGTTTCGTTTTGAGATTAGGTTGTGGTAACAAAAAATATCGGATTTAAAAACTATGGAGAAATAAATAGCAATAACAGTCAAAAATTCTATAGAATTATAGCCTTAAAAAGTACTCAAATGCACGATTCGAATTTTCCATATTGTTTGAAATGTATCAGGATATTTAAAATCCAAGTGAAAATCAATATCAATAACTGTCGAAAATACAATAGAAAAATTACATCGATTTACGATACTATCTGCGCAAATTGAGCATGTCAAAAAGTAATAATCTAAATGCATGATTCGAATATGTATAAATTTTTGCAGAAAAGAAAACTGAAATTTTTCACTTTTCCAAAGAAAAATCTTTCTGCAAGAACTCTGTAACGTTCTGTGACAATGTCGCCGTGTCGCTGCTATTCTGCCAGGGGGCATGTACATACATAGTTTTCTATGGTTTATTTGGTTAATTTTGTATTGACTCAAATTTTAATGTTTATTTCCAAAGTTTCTTAAATGCTCCCTGCAGAAGAATAAAAATTTAGGGTCTCTCGTGTAACACAATTTAATATCTTTCAGATGAAATTTATTTAACAACTGCCGTTTTCGTTTTATAAATACTAAGTGATTAATTAATAAACGAACAAATGGAATATAGGAAATGTATTAGTGAGTTAGTGATTGAACAAACGAATTAATTTATGATTCGGCTATAAATCTGGGAAAGGATCAGTGAATTGGAGAATCAGTAACTGTGCTAAGTTGTGAATAAGCTAATCAATGAATGAGCAAATTAATTCAATCTTGAATTAATTTGCAATTAAATAAAAAGGTTCTAAATTTGTAACTTGTCAGACAAAGTTTAACATATATTTTTATAACTAATTCTGCTAAGAAAATTTCATTAGTTTTGAGCCTCATTGTCCAACTTAGATTTAGATAATAATTGAAAGCGAAATAGAAATCGCAGAGCTTGAACATAGTAATTTAATCGTGGAAGCAACAGTTAACAAAGATATTTTTTTAAATAAATGAAATAATCAGTCATCCTCAATTAATTTAAATCTTATGTCCAAATTTGCTTATTATAAATTCCATTCTTTATAGTTCAAAATTCTTAAAGCATAAATATTAGTTAAATATTGACTACTGTTTAAATTTCTAAATTAGACTCTGAATTGTACTTACTTAAAGTTCAAATTTTAATTATATATTAATCTGAATTTACTTCAGAATTTATCAAGTAATTCTCAGAAATTTCAAAAATACATATCCACTGGTACATATAACATCTGCTGATTCATTCATTAAACATTGGTTTTCATTGCTTTTAAAAATTAAATTTGCTGAAGCAGGAGAGGAATCATCTCTTGGACTATTATCTATTTGTCCACCTGTTATTGGAAATATGCTATGTTAGTTTCAGAATTAGCACTGACTCAGATCAGAAAAAGAACAAAATTAATGTCTCTTCCCTATATAACGAATTTAAAAATAAAAATCAGGTCTCTTTAGTCAATTAGAATAACATTGTGATTGATCGCATTGAGTTTGTTCCTTTATCTTAAAAATGCGTTATGAAAGTGCTCAGTTGCACGGGTGTATAATAGTAGAGGTCCCCAGTTGCTGGTGTGTATAGTGGAGATCCACTGTTGTTGATGTGTATTGCACAAGCTCTCATTTGCAGGTGTGTATTGCAGAGTTACTCAGTTAAATGAATGTATCAGTAGTTTTTGGTAATGGTTTCGCAAAACTGAAACCTCTTGATTTATTTGTAAAATTTTTTTTCGCAACAACTTGTTATTAGAAATATTTGGAGTGCCCTATATATTTGGAGTAACATCTTTTATTTCTTGCCATGTTTACATTCACATAATTATTTTTCAGAATTTTCTTTTATATAATATTTAAGAGTTTTATTCATTTTGATAATTAAAATATTCCTTTTTCTTCATTTGCTACTTTACGTTGGAAAAGTCCTAATGCTGTTCACATGATCTAAATGTCATTAATAAAGAATTAATCTGACTACTAAAACTAAAAATAAAAAATTTATAGTTCAAAACCGGCCAACAAACTTACATATACTCAAAAACCATCCAATTAACAGTAAGATAATAAATAATCACTCAATTGTTACAAAAACTTGATATTTAATTATAACAATCTTGTAATATTTTGCTTAAATCTAATAACAACATTGGAAGACGTCTTCTCCCTCCAAACACAACAAAAAGCAGAATATCAAAATAAAAAATTAATATTGTTTTAAAAAATAAGTTTGTTCTTGTGTAGGAAAGATAAGTAGAAAATTCCATTTTTCTATCACCTTTTGTGCAAAGTTATTTTTTACAGCATATTCTGGATGTTTTATCTTCATAACATGGTACAAACCTAAAAAATACAACAAAAAATAATACAGTAGGGAACCGATTATCCGGAACAATCGGGACCATCGCTATTCCGGATAACTGATTTTTCCGGTTTTCCAACTAAAAAAAGCAAAAATAGTTGGAAATAATCTTAAAAAGAGGAAAAAACGATGAAGTAATACACTAATGATTATTTCCAAAATGATGGTAAGGTAAACATCTTTCAAAAAAGAAAGAAAAATCCTAAAATTGTATAAGGGGAAAAAAATAATTTTTTTTAAATGGCGGGAAAATTTATCGAATTTCGTTCCGGTTTTTTGGTTTTCCGGTTTTCTGATTCCCGGATAACGGGTTCTGTACTGTACTTTGAGTTCATTTAAGTACAGTTTTCTATTCTATAGTCAAGCTGCAGTTACACCACATCCACAGTGTCTGATGCACGAACAGTCGGTTTACACTGTAAATAAAGTATAATGTGCATGCGTAATCTCGAGAAACACATTTCTTCTTCCAATCCTCTCGCAGTTTGTCGATTGATTCCTAAATCTAAATTTATCCAACTCTGGTCTTGAAAGAGCCTCTTTTGCATCCACTTGTCTACCTACTGACAAATTGCTCTTCAAATAGAACTTTAATAACACAATCAAAATTTCTCAAAACGAAAACCTCTTGATTTATTTGTAAAAATTTTTTTCACAACAACACAGGTTTTAATATTAAAAAATAATTTTAAAAAATCTTTCTTGTGACATCATAATTCATCTACTGACCGAATCAAGTCAACTTTTCATTCACACCCTCTGGAAAACATGTTGATATTCAAATAAATGTGCTCACATTGTCTCCTGAGTTATTCCCAAAAACAATAATAGTCCTGATTATCAGGATCCAAGTAACAAAACAAAATTCAAAGTACATCAATCACATCTCAAAAAAAAAATTTGCACAAATAATCTTGTATTTTCAAATCAATGTTTCCGTTTGATATTTAATATTTACCCCATTTTATATGATGCCAACTTAACAATAAACTAAAAAACCAACTAAATAACAGTAGAATAATAAATAATCACTAATTTTTGTCAAAAAATTCTTAATGTATAATTATAACAATGTAATTTTTGTTTTAATTTCATAATATTATCTAGAAAATTTCCTCCAAACTTATCTAATATGTCTGTCCAAAATGTGTAAGTAAAGAGTTAATATTATTTGAAAAAATAAGTTTGTTCTTGCATGGGAAATTCTTTTTTCCTATCCTTCTTGCTGTTGCCTCTGCTCTAAACATCTACACGTTGGTGTTCACCTTTACTTATATATTTATAGTTATATTTAAATAACAATTTTTTCTATTCTTATTTCCTAAAAAACTATTTCAATGTTATATTAATATTAAAGAAAAAAATTATAACTTAGTGATGGAAAAACAAAGTATTTCCTAACCTGGAGTAAGACCTCTGTAAAATATGTATGTTTTGTTTTAAAAAAACACAAAATTAATCTAGAAAAAAAAACTGTTTCAGAGAGACTAAAATAGTGTTGAGAGGAAATTCTACGCAGCATCTTGTGGAACTAGAAAGAAAAGCACTTCAACTTGGATTACCTACTTATTTAGTGCAAGATGCGGGGCGGACGCAAGTAAGTTTCTTGTAATGCATGTGAATGGTTGACCAAATGTAAACAATAACAAGCTTCCTAAACACCTGGAAAAAATTTTGAAAATTAAATTGGAGATTGATCGTTCTCTGGTTTAGGTCAAAATTGCTGTATGAATTAGTCGATGTATGAATGGGTCCGCCTTTTAAAACAGGCTGTGATCTGCATGTGGCTTAAGTCGTACTCTTGGCCATAGATGAAACAAGAAATGCACCCTTTGCCTTAAATTCGATCGGTTTCACCAGCTGGCTTGATGGTATGGGCAAGTGGCATTAGAAACAACGATAATAATTAGACCTTTTATGAGATAAAACTTAAATAAAACAAAAAGATAAGATAAAACTTGCTCGCCAACTCTTACATATCAGATCACTAATGGCAAGCTAAAATACTGATCATTGGATCAAAATGTATTTACAGGGTATCTGCTACATTTTAGATTTTCAAATCTATGACTTTCCCTGACTTAATTCTGAGAATTTTTCATGACTTAACGGAGTTACTATTTTCTCCGACAAAAACGCAACAGTAAATTTAAGAAAGCATTATAATAACATTAATTGAAATGATAGGTATAACCAAAACTGTTATATGCTGCATCTTCATATTTATAGATTTTAAATTTAAAAAAACAGAGTAAGGAAAGTGTTGAAGCAGTAAAATAGCTGAAAAAATACTAAAGCAAATAATTTTTCTGCAGAATTATGCTCTAAAGATACTTTTCTTATTCAAAGGAAAGAAATACTCCTGATTTTTCTGTTCTCATTTTAGAATTAAAAAAATTTGCCAATGACTGGCTTGCTTCAGCTAGAATTTGAAATTGATAAAATAATAAACAAAGAAAAAAAATTCTGAACTCACAGAAGTTTTAAAGATAATTCACTCTAGAAATGATGTTCTTTCTTTCATTTTTTGAAAGAACACCATAATTTTTAAGGGACATGATAAAAACATTTTATATTTTAATAAAATATGACTGTGAGTGGGGATTTTGTTACAAATTCAGATATTCGAAACACTGAAATTGGGGGAGGGGGTGCTGAATTCCATTTTAAAAATTAGATTTTTTGGAGACCTAAATCCATGATTTTGCATGATAAAATAGTTAAAATCATTATATTTCATGACAAATTTAGTTCAATAACGAAATCCAAGATTTTACAGGACTTACCAGGTGCGTGGATACCCTGTATTTAATTTAGGAAATTTCATATCTTTACTCTGATTATTTTTTTTTTTTTTCAGATTCCATCGGGAAGCACAACAGTTTTGTGTTTAATGGGTAGATTGGACATAGTGGACGAGGTGACTGGATCTCTAAAACTTCTTTAATTAAGTTATTTTAGTTATGCGCATTTAAAAAAAAAAGCCTGTAAGCATTCCTTCATATGCTCAATTAGATATTCATTTCTATTGCTTTATAGAATATTTTGGAAAGTGTTTACTTGCTGGTTTCACTTAAATGTATTAAAAATTCTTGATATTAAAATATTGTAATGATTTTATACAAATGTTGATTATAAAAAAAGCATTGATGCAAATATTTATTTATAGTCAAATCTGTCTATCTTAATGAATTGTTACTTCCTAAAGAAATATTTATCTTTTCAATTATTTCAATTTAATTATAGAAACTGTATTTAGATTATTTCCTCAAACTTATGCTTGGATTATGAAATGAATGATAAATCTTATAAAAATTAAGTATGAACTTCTAGCTTTGTGTTTTTACATTAAAAGTGATAACAATCATTATAAAAAATGCATATTTTCCTTATTTTTTCTCTGAACCAACTAAAATTAAAACATATTTTATTATACATCCAGTGGTTCCTCTTCATTGTTATAGCAATGGTTAATTTCACACTCCAACATCACAGCAGTGGAAATTCAATGTGATGAATCTCATGGAAAATAGAAAAATTTTGAAATAAAAAAACTACAGAAGTTATTCAATATGATTAATTAAAAACGTTTTAATTGCTCCAAATCTAGAAAAATACAGTGATATGACTGCAGATTAGTTATACGCAAATACATCATATTATTTTTAATGCACTGTTCACCAACTAAAAAAGTGGACACTTTTGATCTAATGATTGAATTTTCATCATTACTAGAACTCAATGGTTCAGGGACATAACCTTAAATACGCTAATTAATGTGTTCAGACGATATTTTAAGTTACAAAATCAGACACACTAAGCCCTTTCTCTGAATAAATATTCCATTTTTTCGACAGATTTGGGATTTCAGACCTGCAAAATATAGTCCCAATAGCCAGAACCAATTTCGTTGAAATTTTGTGTTCAGACATTTAAAATAGCATTCTTTAAAATAATGCAAAAATTTGCATAGTTTACAATTCAAAACTTTTTCAAAAATTATTAAATAAAATAAGAGATAATAATTTCTTAAAATTATTTTTATTATGGAACTGTCTTTTGTTTAACAAATTTTCTTGGGCGCCAGATGGTATATGAGAGAGAAGCTGCCTTATGTAGAGAATACAATGAATGGAAAATACAAATAGACGAACAAAAACAGGGGGGTGGACAAGCTGGTTTGAGGTAAGATCCTGGGCAACTGATCGAAAGAGATGGCGTTGGAAATTAAGGGCATTGAGGCACGAAGAAAGACTAGTAAGTAAGTTAGCAAATTTTATAATTGTCTGCAAAATTTTTTTTGATTTGCTTAAAAAGTATGGCAAAATGCACAAAAAATGTTGAGACACAAAAGTAGTAAGAGATATCCATTAGAAGTATATAAAATGGAATTAAACAAAAAGGAAGAAATATTTTTTAAACACAATAAGCACAGTCAGTTTTTGGTTTAACCACCAACTACAGAAAGGCTCCAGCATGTTAACAGGTCAATGTGTCCCCTGAAGAAGTACAGTTTTTTCTGATTTTTCTTTTTGAAATTTCCTTTGTTTTTTATTAAAGTTCTCCCATATTAATTTAAATTGAGTAATGAGATTAAGTCGTAGTACATACAAATCCGATCATTAGATTAAATGTTATTCGGGTTGTTTACTGCTTTATTTTGGACATTGTACATATTTAACTTATAGATCAAAAAACTATCTTTTTCATCTTAATTTTCTGTTTTTTTTTTTTTTCGTTTTCTGAGGTTAACTCTTTCAGTCCTAAATTATGAATTGGGTGATAAGAAAAAGAAGAAATACTGCCACTGTATTTAAATATATTAAGAGTAAGATTTAAATATATTATTATATTACACCTCTTTTGTTATGGTGAATTCTGCCAATTTTCAGTTAAAAATCATAAAAAAGAGGAATAAAGAGTAATGTAAAGATGTGCTTTAATGCTAGGATGCTTAGACGGGAGGGGTGGTTAACATCTGAAAATTAAGTTTGGATAAGATTTTCCTGAGACTCAAGACAACTTTACCCTTCTTTGCTTCCTTTGTTGTCACTTTATGTGCCTTTTTATGTTTCTCAAGCTTCCATTTCTGTAATTTACTCTACTCTCCAAAGTTCGAGATTTGAAGGTTTTGAGGAATTTTTTTTTTCCGATACATACATTGAACTGAAATTCAATTGACAATGCAAGGAATTTTATTGAGATCTATAAATTTTTGAGATAAGCGGTTTCGAAATGAGCTGGTTTGACTAAATTTTAACAGTCATAAAGAAATTTCATGCTTCTATAATAAATTGAATTATAAATCTTTAACCTCCATGATCAATTTATAATGAAACAGAATTGAGTTTTGAATAAATTGAGTTTTGTTAATGTATATAGTGCTTAAAAATATTTTTTGCATACTTAAAAAGTGCTTATTTTTTGTTGAAAGATTTGGCTATGCTCCCTGTTTACTATCACACTTTTTTAAAGTTTATTAACCCACTTCACTTTCAACTTAATTTAGCATTAAAAATGTTCAAATAAGCCTTTTCCATAATCCATAATCATCAATGTAAATCCTCTACTTACCAGAACTAAAAATGTTACCATTCAAACTAAAATCCTTTCAAAATGTAATATCATTGTTTTTTAAAATATCAAACTATAACAAAGATTATTTATGAAAGAATCTTAAAGATTGTGTTGAATGAAAATGTATGTTAAAGTGTGAATCTAAACCAAAAAAAAGAGAAAAGGTAATTTGTTATTGAGTACTTAAATTTTATAATAAAAAGGAAAGAAACGTTGATTAAAACTAAATTTTTTTTATCACATTGTCTCAAAACTCAACCCCAATTGAGACACCTGAAAATTTAAAATATTGCCTACCAAAGGCATCCTGTCTGCTTTTAATTCGCTCGAATTTAGATGTGAGAAAATATTAAAAAATTCGCCTTTCTAATTTAAAATTCTCAGAACAGAAATAATTTTTTAACAAAAAATTGCAAAAGTAAAGCTGCCAATTCACCTTTCAGAAACTTTGTAAACAGTTTTTTTAGTTTCTCATCCTGGTAAGTACAGGGCCATTCAAATTTAAATTATGCATATATTTGGCAATGTTGGACTCTGCCAGCAAAAATAAGCAGACCTCATCCCATGCTTACTCAAGAAAGTCGCAACAACCTCACTTTTTATTACCCATTGGCACAATGGGTGTTCTTTTGGGTTTGATGGCGTGCACACCTTATTTGGGCGTCGTCACACTTTTCAACTGTGTACAAGAGTAATAGTAAACAGTGCGCTTGCGTCGTCATTGCATGCGTTGCTATGGCGACCGCCACTGTTTGATAATGTTTTTAGAATTCTTTTTTTCACTTTTAATTTTGTTATGCATTAAGTTAGAGTTTATTTTTGAGATATGGGACCAGAGAGATCCCATGAATACTTCTTGAGTTGTGAATAAAAGAGAATTTCATCATTTGAACGATATTTTTTGTTTTTAAGAATCAGAAATTCTATGCTACAGTTCAAATGGATCGTTTTCAATTCTAATTCAGGTGAATATTCTGATATGGCAATGGGTAACCTGTGATTGCCTGTCGGCGATCACAATTCTTTTTAAATTTAAATGTTATAATCAAGGAAGTTACTTCACTACATTAATTTTTTGAAGTAAGTTTTTTTCTTTCTTTTCCTTTTTTTTTTTTTTTTTTTTTTTTTTTTTTTTTTTTTTTTTTTNGGGTGTTCTTTTGGGGTTTGATGGTGTGCACACCTTATTTGGATGTCATCACATTTTTCAACTGTGTTCAAGAGTAATAGTAAACAGTGGGTGTGCGTTGTAATTGCATGCGTTACTATGCAACCGCCGCTGTTTGATAATTTTTTTAGAATTCTTTTTTCACTTTTAATTTTGTTATGCATTAAGTTGGTGAGTTTATTTTTGAGATATGGGACCAGAGAGATCCCATAAATACTTCTTGAGTTGTGAATAAAAGAGAATTTCATCATTTGAACGATATTTTTTGTTTTTAAGAATCAGAAATTCTATCCTACAGTTCAAATGGATCGTTTTCAATTCAGGTGAATATCCTGATATGGGTAACCTGTGATCGACTGTCGGCGATCACAATTCTTTTTAAATTTAAATGTTATAATCAAAGAAGTTATTTCACTACATTAATTTTTTGAAATAAGTTTTTTTTTTTTTTTGCTTAACCTTTTTTTTTTCAGTCAGAAAATTAATATATAGATAGGTTATTTTTTGCAAGTTCAATTATGGGAAGGTGACTAGGGAGCGGAGGTTGGTGTATAAGTTATAAAAAAAAGTTACTGTACAGACAAAGTTTAAACAATTTGACTACAGATTTATTTTGAATTTCAAAATACTAAAATCAAATTAAATCAACTCAAGAGATCGTCGCTGAACCTTTCTGATAAATTGGGTAAATTCAAAATCGTCAGAGTCGCTCACTATTGGATAACTTTTTCAAAACAAGGTACAAAAACACTTAAAAATTAATTTGTGGTTTACTTTTAGGATATTTAACGTGATAAAAGTGAATACATTACCTTTTCCACACCAAGCAACTGCTTTATAAGGAAGAGTTCCTAGCAAAATAATCATCGAAATGCACCATGTGGTTTACATAAGAAAAATGCTGTGTAGTGGTGTGATGTATGGTAAATTTTAATCTAGTCTATCCATTTTTACTAAAATGATCTGAAACGGGCATTGGAAATAATATAAAGCGAGATACGAGATTGCCCTTTTGAAACACGGCATGTGCAAATTTGACAGTAACTTTCGTACAACTCGCAAATTCGCCGGTAACTTTGTTACAACTGAACAATTCTATATATGGCCTATATTGGTTAAGTGTCTTAGTATGTAATGCATTCTCTAAGACAATTAAAATGTGGTGATTCGAAATATATAAACCATTTTTTTCTACCACCTACTGTTTCTTCAACCATTTATATTTCATTTAACCATTTACTGTTGCACTGAGTACTCATTAACTTATCATTAGTTAGCAATGAAACGTTCTCAAGCTTAACTCAAAGAATTCAATGAATTTTTTAGAAGAAATTATAGCTCAGCCATATCAAAAAATTAGCTGACAAATTGCATTAAAAGGGGAGTAAAATAATAATGAAAATCGGGTTATGTTTTACAAAATCATACAGCTATCATGACTTGAAGACTACATTTGAAACTGAAAATGCTATATAGAAAACTCGCTATGCAATATCCACGCCACGTTGAGAATATTTACCTGCTATGACATTATTATTTTGAAGTCCCAATAATAATTAAAAAAATTTCTCCAAAAAATGGAGTTTTAAA